GCGTTATAAGCGCCGAATCGCATCCAATCGCGCGGCCGCTTGTTGCTAGGAAAGACTGGGATGAAGATTCCTCACCTGCTGCGGCGGGAAGCGCGTCACATGTCCTGTCAGCGATGTGCTCCGCTGCTGCGGGAATGTTGTGGAGGGAACGGTGGTGTTATGTGGTTGTCGGCGTCATGTTATTCTCCGGGACTGATGCTGGAGACTGCGCGCTACATCCGGGCTGCTGGGAATCACGGCACCTGACAGCCGATCGACCAACCCTACTATGGCGAAGGCGTCAGTATGAATATTCATGATGCAGACGTTCGCTATTGGACGAGAGCAGCGCGACGTCACTACCAACCACTTAAAATTCAATACCTAAGACTTCCCATTGGAGGGTTAGAACGTACGGTCAACATTATCTTATTAATTAATAATCATAAAGACTTTACTTTTATTAATTTAACATATGATTATATAAAATAACAAAAAAGGTAAAAGATTCTGTATTCGTTTTTTTTTTGTCTACATCAACATACTATAGTATGACAACTGAAGAACTAAGAACTTCAAAAAACCAAAAGACATTCTACAACTATTTAGAATAGCGGAACGTCTGTATTATTTATTATTTTTAAAACCTCAAAACTACATTGTAAACTAATTGTAGAGACATTAAAAGCGTTTCATTCAGAGATAAAATTAAAATAACAAGTCTCGATACATCCGCAAAACACTTAACAGAAACATTTTGAAAAATTTGATGTTTTTAAAATATTCAAGACGACGTCTTCGTCACTAAGCGGCATTGGGTTAGCGTAATTAATATTCAGAAAAATAAGCCATCGCCATTGGAAGGTGACCAGTCAACGTCGGCACGTTCTCTTTAATATTCATGAGCTACGCCTCCAGCATGGTAGGGTTTGTACCGTCGAACCCGGCGGCGTCGGATCACAACGCGTTCAATGATAGAATGAAATAACGTCTCAGAGCTTCACATCCAGCTTCAACGCGTCGCACACGCGAATACGCTGCGTCGTAAAAACGTCGTCTATATTGATGTGGTGATGTTGGGATTCTGGGATTATAAACTCTGACACACGGTACCGGTACCGAATCCAAACATCGCGACTGCTCTCAGCGTTCAGACAGACGCGTCAGATCCGGCGCGAGATTCTACAAACACCGAGGACACGTGACGCGACGCGATGCTCGCGCGCTTAATAACGAGAAGAAATGACGGCGACGTGAATGACGTCACGACACACAACGACGTCGATGACGTCATTCCTGTAGCTCCGTCTCTGACCGCTGTGACTGATGGTTCTCCAGCCCTGCACTGTACAATGTTGTCTGGTTCTTTAGTATGATAACTAATGAATAACTAAAACATTTACAATTATTCAGGAATGAATGTAAGTATTATGTATGCAGAGCTGGTAGATTACTGACAAACTGTAGTCCGCTTCTGATTCCAAATTACATGACAAACATTGTAGTTAGTGACGTCATCCGTTACATTACACATTTTAGGTAATGTAATCAGATTACTTTTAGATTACTTTTGACCTAACTCGTTTATCACGTTGATTTAAATAGGATAATCTTGTTCCACATTGATATAAAAATGCAAAGAAAAATAAAATATATTCCATTCTTTGTTACAACAACATTAAGTGCATTAAACATTACATTACTGAATTATGAACTAAAAATCTCAGAGGTATAGTTCAAGTAAATATATGAGCTGAAAGAGGTTTAGCTGACAAAAAAAAGTTTGTGAATCCCTGCATTAAATTTAAATAAGAAATAATGTGAATTTGTGCATTTGGATGTGTTTGAAAGACAAAAGCCTAATTCAAATAAATATTAACGTGTTATTATCAGTATTATCAGTAGTTAATGCAATGTTGAAACTCTTCTTAAAGCTGAACTGATTTCTGTAAATCCAGTGTGTCCTCCAGACTAGTGACTGATGTTTGTCTTTGTCTGATTACGAGTATTTTAAAATGTAATTTAATCTAATTACAAGTACTTAATTTTAGGAATCTGATTACATGATGCAGATCACATAATCAGTTACTGTATGAGTGTAATGCGTGACAGAAATACAGGCAGATGATTTGTTGTGACTGATTTCATGTCATGCATTACTCTGTATTATTAATATCTGTGAGGATCTGTGCTGATCGTGTGTGTGTAGTTCAGCCACCGAGGGGCAGCAGACACACAACTGTCTGAAAGAAATAAAGGAGTAAAGAATCTGTGAGGATGAAGAGCATCAGACATCTTCACATTCATGCTTCCTCTTGATCTGTGTGTCCTGTGCTCTGATCTGAACAGTGTCTGTGTTGAGAGACATCAGGTTTAGCAGCGGTGCATGATGGGAACACAGCAGGAGGAATCGTTACAGCTCCACAGGAAATGACACAATAACAAAAGAGTGTTCTGTAGACGTCACACGTCTCGTATCTCATCTCAAGTGCACTCACTTTATCAAGGGCACAACAAATATTGTTTATTTCAATCATTGTCAATTCATATTTTTATGACAGATTTTCATAGTTTAAAATTGAACGTCTGGGTTTTGGATGAGCAAAACAAACCAATCTCCTCATAAAAGATATTTAAGAAGTAGCAGACAAAGTAGAGAAGGCATGAACGGGTTTAACAGAATTAAAATGAAAGGAACAGTTCACCTAAAACATGAGCTGTAAATGTGCTCGCTCTCAGATCATGAGTTTGTTTCTGCATCAGGTTTGGAGAAATGTAGCATCACTGCAAGTGAATGGGTGCCGTCAGAATGAGAGTCCAAACAGCTGATAAAAACATCACAATAATCCACAAGTAATCCACAGCACTCCAGTCCATCAGTTAACATCTGGAGAAGACAAAAGCTGAAACACATCCAGCATTAAGACGTTTTTAACTAAAATACATAGAGTCCATAATCCATAATAACTCTTCCTCCAGTGAAAAAGCTCATCTGCTGTTGTCTTCTCCAAACCTGATGAAGAAACAAACTCATCCACATCTTGGAGATCAGGACCTTCTGCAGATCTATTAGAAAAGGACATACATGATTGAGCTCAGATGAAATATGGGAAAGATCACCTGATGGCAGATGCTTCTGTTCAGTAACGCTGGAGACCGAGAGCAGCAGTGACTGCGAGGAACAATGAGTCCTTTAGCATCATGTGATGAAGTTTAGAGGAACACACTGAGCTGCGATGCGTGTGGAATGTGTTGTGAACACAGTGTTCGTGTCGAGACACACAGTATAATGGCATTCTGATCCAGCGGCGCATGACTGCTGACAGCAGCGCGCTCACAAGAGACTCATTACAGCACAAACCAGCCACTATAACACTTAAATCAAGACACATTTACTGGAGACGCACATGACTTAATATATAAGGTCTTGTTTTTTTTCAAATGTATCAAAATTTTGGATTAAAACAAGAACAGTGTGGTCAAAACAACAACAACGACGAACTAAACTCAAATGGAAAACAAGCTTATTTTTCTGACCCAGTTGGCAGAATTTAAAAAAATGTTTAAAACATAAATTCACTTCATTGTGATACATTTTTCAGAAGAAAAAACAAGATTTTATAGTCATTTTGTATCTCCAGTAAATGTATCTTGTATGAATGTTTATATATATGTGACCCTGGAGCACAAAACCAGTCATAAGGGTCAGTTTTGTGAAATTGAGATTTATGCATCAGCTGAAAGCTGAATAAATAAGCTTTCCATTGATGTATGGTTTGTTAGGATAGGACAATATCTGAAAATCTGGAATCTGAGTGTGCAAAAAAATCTAAATATTGAGAAAATCATCTTTAAAGTTGTCCAAATGAAGTTCTTAGCAATGCATATTACTAATCAAAAATTAAGTTTTGATATATTTACGGTAGGAAATTTACTAAATATCTTCATGGAACATGATCTTTACTTAATATCCTAATGATTTTTGGCATAAAAGAGAAATCTATAATTTTGACCCATACAATGTATTGTTGGCTATTGCTACAAATATACCCCAGAGACTTAACACTGCTTTTGTGCTGCAGGGACACATATGTGCTGGAAAACAAGACAGAAACGCTGAGGAAGAGCTGCATGTTTTGCATCATGTCAGTAATCCAGACAGATCTGACTCTGGACTCACATGACTCTGTGTAACTGGATCAACTTATAAAACTGCAGGTCACCGTGGAAACCTGCTGGACTACTGACCTGTGTGTGTGTGAATCTAATCATCGAGACGCAGCCGCTTTAAAGCTTATTGTTTTTATTTCCAGTAAATAATATGCCGTTTTATGACATTTCTTTAATATGAGGTTAAAACTGACTGTAGAACAACTAGTTTGACTAGTAAAGAGTTTCTGAATGCCAGACTAACAAAGCAAGCCGGTCATGTTTGTCAAACTCATCTTCTGTAATCTGTTTTATTTGTAAGCGTTATCCGTGAGTTTGACCACACAGTCCGAGTCTCACACACTATCAATAGTGTGGAAGTTACTGATATGTAAAATATATAATTACACTAAAAAAACTAAAAGATTTTCATCCTCAATCATTTTTTTTTTTGTCTTGTTTTTCAGAAAAAATATCTAAACATCCTTAAATGAAGTTATAATAACTTACATCAGATAACAAGACTTTCTTTAAAAACAAACAAAAACAAATCTAAATTAAGTGATTTTGCACTTAAATCAAGAAAAAAAATGTCTTTCGCTTTAAATAAAGTAGATTTTTCTTACCGCATTGGCAGATATTCATTCTCATCTTAAGCATAAAGTCACTTCATTTTTCAGAAAACAAGACTTATGCATCTTATAATGAAGGATGTTTAGATATTTGTACTGGAAAACAAGACAAAAATGCTGAGGAAGAACATCATTTTTTACAATGTACATATTGTTTCATAAGAGCATATAATGTTGATATTGTGAGTCTCATGAACAAACATGCTCTTTCTCTGAGTCATAATGAGGAGGAGACGCATATAAAGGCAGTGAGACAGATGCTGGTCTGCGGCTCCTCGTGGTTCTGCTGCTCATCCACAGGTACAGTGATCCTCAGCTTCTCTTCTCAATGCTGTAGCTGTCTATCTGTGATGCTCATCTAATACTTCGCTGAGTTTGATGTGGAGAGATTCCAGTCATTAGCTCTGATCCTGTCGTTAGTGTCTAAAGAGCTCACATCATCGTTTGCTGTTGGGCTCTGGTTTAACATGCACACGTTTAGCAGTCAGATCACTAGTTAGATCACAAGTACTGGTTTAGAATGACGATTAGCTGAGTACATGTGACTTATATTTGAAATCTTTTAAATAGCTGAAAAATATTAAAGGATATATACTAATGGTCAAAAATTTAATGTGTGTTAAAATGTATTTCTGTGATGTGCAGCTGTATTTTCTGCATCATTACTCCAGTCTTCAGTGTCACATGATCTTCAGAAATCATTCTAATATACTGATTTGCTGCTCAAGAAACATTTCTGATTATTATCAATGTTGAACACAGTTTTAGGTTGAAACATTTTTTTTTTATTCAGCATTGATGCATTAAATTGATCAAAAGTGACAGTAAAGACATTTATAATAGGACTAAGAAACAAGTCAGTTTTTCAGTTCAAGTCAAGTTTTATTAAGTTCCCTCACGGGCTATTTTGGATGCAGTGAAACCGACATACAGCAGACACATACAAAACATTCTTAAAAAATCATGAATACATACAAACATAAATTAAATAAATTTCCCTAAAAACATTCCTTTAGGACTGTTTAACAACCGAATCGCACAGGGGACACATTTATATCGGTTACTTTTCATCAAATAGCATCTGTGCCATCTGACAATATTGCCAGAAATTAAGAAAACAGCTATTTTAAACTTTAATACTATTTCACTGTTTTTGTGATCAAATAAATGCAGGCTTGGTGAGCAGACGAGACTTCTTTCATTCAAAATTTTTTAATTCTTCATTATTCCCAACACATGACCAGTGAGACGGCACTATACGGTCAAACCGGTCAATATTAAGGTGCTAAAGGGATCCTAACTCACCCGCCAGTGAACAGTGCCATCATTATCATCATGTGATGTTGTTCAGCGCGTCAGACATAGTGCAGATGGAGTCGGATGAGTGGATCTGTAATGATCTGTGATGGTTTGTTTCTCAGGTTCAGGTCCATCATGAGTTGCCCGTCCTCCGGTCAGCAGGGTGTTTACCCACAAACCCCTCAGCAATGGCCCGGTCAGCCCTGCCAACCCTGCTGGTCCTGCCAACCCACTCAACCCAACTGGCCTGTTAACCAGCCCAGCACGACCTGGCCGGTCCAACCCACCCAACCAGGCTCAGTGCCATCATTATCATCATGTGATGTTGTTCAGCGCGTCAGACACCGTGCAGATGGAGTCGGATGAGTGGATCTGTAATGATCTGTGATGGTTTGTTTCTCAGGTTCAGGTCCATCATGAGTTGCCCATCCTCCGGTCAGCAGGGTGTTTACCCACAAACCCCTCAGCAATGGCCCGGTCAGCCCTGCCAACCCTGCTGGTCCTGCCAACCCACTCAACCCAACTGGCCTGTTAACCAGCCCAGCACGACCTGGCCGGTCCAACCCACCCAACCAGGCTGGCCCAACCCTCCACCAATCCAACCAAACCCACCAACCCAACCCATCCCACCGATTCAACCAACCCAACCCATTCAACCCATTCAACCAATGCAACCCATTCAACCAATGCAACCAATGCAACCAATGCAACCAATGCAACCCAACCCTCCAATCCAGCCGATCCCACCCATTCAGCCGAGCTGGCCTGCTCAACTACCCCCCCCGACGGGTTACCTGCCGTCTCCAGTGGCTCCGGCGTGGCACGGTAATCCCGGTCAGCCCGGTTGGCCCGGTCAGGGGCCCGCAGGAGGAGCTCCGAAGCCGTGGCCCCCAGCACCAGCCATCGCTCCTGTAGTAAGACACTGAACCAGCGCTTTACCACAGACATCCATCAATGCAGTGAATAAAACACCGCGAAAGCACCGCTCACACTACACTTACCACCCACTGACTGCCATTCACACGCATGCACAACTCATGCTAATGCGCTCTCAAACTCTAGTTTGGTGAACTGGTGAATTAACTCATTTAAGATTGATGCATTGAAAAAAAAAATGCAGTTCTTCCTCAGTGTTTCTGTCTTGTTTTCCAGTACAAATATCCTTAAATCAAGACACATTTACTGGAGAAGCAACAAGACTGTTAGGTTTTCTGGAATATCTACCAAAAAGAAGTGGGTTTATGCTTAAAACAAGAAAAAATATATATCTGTCATTGCTGTGGGAACAATAAACGTTTAATTCAAAGGGAAAAGCAGGATTCTGAGCCCACATATTTGTTCTTGTTTTAAGCATAAACTCGCTTCATTTTGACACATTTAAAAAAAAAAACATGACTCAGGATCTTCAGTCATTTTGTATCTTGTATTTATGGATTTTTTGTTATTTATGATGGAAAATAAGACAAAAACGCTAAGAAAATAATTTTTTGCATTGTGCGTCATATCGTGATCTCGTGGCTGAATTAAAAGAACACAAACTTTAAATCTGCAGGATCGCAGCAAACTGGAGTAGATTGTATATTTTTACATTTTATGCTAAATTATGTTTTTATAAAAGATGCTGCGGATTGTGAGATCATATAAGACCGCTGCAGCAGCTGAAGAAGTTTTGCGCGCACAAAGACTAGTGTGAAATAAACCGACTGATCCGCTTCTAACAGAGGAGAAACATGCTGAGGTCAAAGGTCGTGTGTCCCATCAAACTCTACAGTATTTCAGCACATTCTGAGGAATCTGATCAGATCAGACAGATGAAGCACGGACAGGCTGAACCTCAACTAAACCACACAAGATAAAAGAAAAGAGTCACTGCAGGAATTAATGACTGCCTCTTATTGAAACTCTATGATTGTAATATTCTGAATCAGATCCAGCTGAGAGCCGATGATGTAGAAATATCATTCGCTGACGTTCCTGAGCCTGTTAATGTTTTCTGTTTTTCAGACGGTTCCTTTCAACATGAATTTCCCCCGCGGCATCTACGACAAGCTGATGCTGACTATCAGAGGACAGATTCGACCAGACGCCAAGATGTAAGTGCAGACCTCATTTCTCATTTATTTATGGCTGAATTTCAGATCTTACAGAAAATATAGTCCCTCGCACATCCAAATCATTCATAAAAGCCCAGTATATAAACTTGAAGAAAAACTGATACATTTCACACACTGCATGATGATGTTTTTTATTTGCAACATTTCGGTCAAAGGAACTTCCTCAAGCCAGAGGAAGCACAACCAGCCGAAACCTTGCAAATGTCACGATGATTTAAAGAGACAGTTCACCCAAAAATAATTGTTCAATCAGCATTTACTCTCCCTCATGTCGTTCCAAACTAAATTAAGGAGCACATCTTACAAGATCAGATATTTGTCAGCTCGTGTTGGATGCAGGGTTGCCAAGTCCGTGTTTTTTCCACAGAATTGGGCTGCTTTGGTTTTAAACTGCTGCCGTGGGCGGATTTCCCCTCGTGGGTTAAAGGTTTGAAATATTGCATTAATTACATTTGACTGAAATGCTTGTATTGAAATATTTTGCATTCTTCCCATTAAAAAAAATGGGCTAAATGTAAGTTTTGTGAAGGAGGGTCTCTGGTAGGAAGCCTTAGAGCTGTGTTTATGATCAATGTGCATAACAGTGACTGTAAAATATGTATTTCAGGTATGGAAATGACATATTTTGAGTTTTGATATTTGGGATATAGTCATTGCGCTACTTTGGGCTGTTTTTGATGTGCATGGGCAACCCTGGCTGTATGAAGCAGACCATTTCAGTTTAGTGTAGCGTATGATTTCCAGAACTAAATTACTTTTATTTCTATATAAAAAAAGCAAATCGACAGTGGGGATGGTGGACACTTTTGAACACACAAGATGATGTTGGTAACCAGACAGTTGTCGGTCCCCAATGATTTCCATAGTATGAAAAAAACACTATGGGGACCATCAACTGTATGATACATTCTTCAAAGTATCTTCTTTTGTGTTCAACAGGAGGAGGAAACTCGTAAAGCTCTGTAACAACATTGGAGAGAGTAAATGATGGCAGATCCCTGTTGAAAAAAACAGCATATGCTGGTTAGGTATGTTTTGAAGCATGACTGCTGGTTTAAGCTGGTCCTAAGCAACTAGCTCCTGCTCAGGACCAGCTTAAACCAGTTCAAACCATCTTAAACCAGCAGTCATGATTCAAAACATGGGTGAACCGTCTCTTTATGTTTGAGTAGTGTGTGGGATTGTCAGAACTTGAAATCACATATAAATGACTCCAGATCATAACATGAACAGAATTTGATACTTTGACAAATGGCTTTAGAACGAATCGTTAGTTTGTCGACACCAAAAGTGTCACTAATGTTTCTCCCGCCACAAGGTTCACGATCAACTTCCTGCGCGGTAACGACATCGCTCTTCACATCAACCCGCGCTTCAGCGAGGGAGGGAAGCCGGTTCTGGTCCGCAATCACAAACTGGGAGAGCGCTGGGGGAAAGAGGAGCGGGATCTTCTGTCGCCGTTCCCCTTCATGCCCGCTCATCACTTTGAGGTAAACGACTCGCTGCGAGATCCTCTGCCTAAAAACAGAGTGTTGAAGCGCTTCCCGTTTATAGGTGGAATGAAAGCAGCAGGACGGTCCAGACAGTGAATGACTGACCCTCACGTCTCTCTGCAGATGAAGATCCTCTGCACCTTCACGGAGTTCAAGGTGGCCGTCAACAACACGCCTGCGTTTGACTTCCAGCACCGCATCAAAGAGGTCAACCAGATCGACCGCATCAACATCCTGCACGACGTCACGCTCACGTCCGTCAACGTGGACACGCTCCCATGAGCCTCCGCGAGCCTAATCAAGCACATTAAACTACAGCGGCAGCATCACACGATTACACTCAGAGACACCCCACATGTGGTCATTTTGACCAGCCCAGCACGACCTGGCCGGTCCAACCCACCCAACCAGGCTGGCCCAACCCTCCACCAATCCAACCAAACCCACCAACCCAACCCATCCCACCGATTCAACCAACCCAACCCATTCAACCCATTCAACCCATTCAACCAATGCAACCCATTCAACCAATGCAACCAATGCAACCAATGCAACCAATGCAACCCAACCCTCCAATCCAGCCGATCCCACCCATTCAGCCGAGCTGGCCTGCTCAACTACCCCCCCCGACGGGTTACCTGCCGTCTCCAGTGGCTCCGGCGTGGCACGGTAATCCCGGTCAGCCCGGTTGGCCCGGTCAGGGGCCCGCAGGAGGAGCTCCGAAGCCGTGGCCCCCAGCACCAGCCATCGCTCCTGTAGTAAGACACTGAACCAGCGCTTTACCACAGACATCCATCAATGCAGTGAATAAAACACCGCGAAAGCACCGCTCACACTACACTTACCACCCACTGACTGCCATTCACACGCATGCACAACTCATGCTAATGCGCTCTCAAACTCTAGTTTGGTGAACTGGTGAATTAACTCATTTAAGATTGATGCATTGAAAAAAAAAATGCAGTTCTTCCTCAGTGTTTCTGTCTTGTTTTCCAGTACAAATATCCTTAAATCAAGACACATTTACTGGAGAAGCAACAAGACTGTTAGGTTTTCTGGAATATCTACCAAAAAGAAGTGGGTTTATGCTTAAAACAAGAAAAAATATATATCTGTCATTGCTGTGGGAACAATAAACGTTTAATTCAAAGGGAAAAGCAGGATTCTGAGCCCACATATTTGTTCTTGTTTTAAGCATAAACTCGCTTCATTTTGACACATTTAAAAAAAAAAACATGACTCAGGATCTTCAGTCATTTTGTATCTTGTATTTATGGATTTTTTGTTATTTATGATGGAAAATAAGACAAAAACGCTAAGAAAATAATTTTTTGCATTGTGCGTCATATCGTGATCTCGTGGCTGAATTAAAAGAACACAAACTTTAAATCTGCAGGATCGCAGCAAACTGGAGTAGATTGTATATTTTTACATTTTATGCTAAATTATGTTTTTATAAAAGATGCTGCGGATTGTGAGATCATATAAGACCGCTGCAGCAGCTGAAGAAGTTTTGCGCGCACAAAGACTAGTGTGAAATAAACCGACTGATCCGCTTCTAACAGAGGAGAAACATGCTGAGGTCAAAGGTCGTGTGTCCCATCAAACTCTACAGTATTTCAGCACATTCTGAGGAATCTGATCAGATCAGACAGATGAAGCACGGACAGGCTGAACCTCAACTAAACCACACAAGACAAAAGAAAAGAGTCACTGCAGGAATTAATGACTGCCTCTTATTGAAACTCTATGATTGTAATATTCTGAATCAGATCCAGCTGAGAGCCGATGATGTAGAAATATCATTCGCTGACGTTCCTGAGCCTGTTAATGTTTTCTGTTTTTCAGACGGTTCCTTTCAACATGAATTTCCCCCGCGGCATCTACGACAAGCTGATGCTGACTATCAGAGGACAGATTCGACCAGACGCCAAGATGTAAGTGCAGACCTCATTTCTCATTTATTTATGGCTGAATTTCAGATCTTACAGAAAATATAGTCCCTCGCACATCCAAATCATTCATAAAAGCCCAGTATATAAACTTGAAGAAAAACTGATACATTTCACACACTGCATGATGATGTTTTTTATTTGCAACATTTCGGTCAAAGGAACTTCCTCAAGCCAGAGGAAGCACAACCAGCCGAAACCTTGCAAATGTCACGATGATTTAAAGAGACAGTTCACCCAAAAATAATTGTTCAATCAGCATTTACTCTCCCTCATGTCGTTCCAAACTAAATTAAGGAGCACATCTTACAAGATCAGATATTTGTCAGCTCGTGTTGGATGCAGGGTTGCCAAGTCCGTGTTTTTTCCACAGAATTGGGCTGCTTTGGTTTTAAACTGCTGCTGTGGGCGGATTTCCCCTCGTGGGTTAAAGGTTTGAAATATTGCATTAATTACATTTGACTGAAATGCTTGTATTGAAATATTTTGCATTCTTCCCATTAAAAAAAATGGGCTAAATGTAAGTTTTGTGAAGGAGGGTCTCTGGTAGGAAGCCTTAGAGCTGTGTTTATGATCAATGTGCATAACAGTGACTGTAAAATATGTATTTCAGGTATGGAAATGACATATTTTGAGTTTTGATATTTGGGATATAGTCATTGCGCTACTTTGGGCTGTTTTTGATGTGCATGGGCAACCCTGGCTGTATGAAGCAGACCATTTCAGTTTAGTGTAGCGTATGATTTCCAGAACTAAATTACTTTTATTTCTATATAAAAAAAGCAAATCGACAGTGGGGATGGTGGACACTTTTGAACACACAAGATGATGTTGGTAACCAGACAGTTGTCGGTCCCCAATGATTTCCATAGTATGAAAAAAACACTATGGGGACCATCAACTGTATGATACATTCTTCAAAGTATCTTCTTTTGTGTTCAACAGGAGGAGGAAACTCGTAAAGCTCTGTAACAACATTGGAGAGAGTAAATGATGGCAGATCCCTGTTGAAAAAAACAGCATATGCTGGTTAGGTATGTTTTGAAGCATGACTGCTGGTTTAAGCTGGTCCTAAGCAACTAGCTCCTGCTCAGGACCAGCTTAAACCAGTTCAAACCATCTTAAACCAGCAGTCATGATTCAAAACATGGGTGAACCGTCTCTTTATGTTTGAGTAGTGTGTGGGATTGTCAGAACTTGAAATCACATATAAATGACTCCAGATCATAACATGAACAGAATTTGATACTTTGACAAATGGCTTTAGAACGAATCGTTAGTTTGTCGACACCAAAAGTGTCACTAATGTTTCTCCCGCCACAAGGTTCACGATCAACTTCCTGCGCGGTAACGACATCGCTCTTCACATCAACCCGCGCTTCAGCGAGGGAGGGAAGCCGGTTCTGGTCCGCAATCACAAACTGGGAGAGCGCTGGGGGAAAGAGGAGCGGGATCTTCTGTCGCCGTTCCCCTTCATGCCCGCTCATCACTTTGAGGTAAACGACTCGCTGCGAGATCCTCTGCCTAAAAACAGAGTGTTGAAGCGCTTCCCGTTTATAGGTGGAATGAAAGCAGCAGGACGGTCCAGACAGTGAATGACTGACCCTCACGTCTCTCTGCAGATGAAGATCCTCTGCACCTTCACGGAGTTCAAGGTGGCCGTCAACAACACGCCTGCGTTTGACTTCCAGCACCGCATCAAAGAGGTCAACCAGATCGACCGCATCAACATCCTGCACGACGTCACGCTCACGTCCGTCAACGTGGACACGCTCCCATGAGCCTCCGCGAGCCTAATCAAGCACATTAAACTACAGCGGCAGCATCACACGATTACACTCAGAGACACCCCACATGTGGTCATTTTGACCTGGAGAGGAATTTCTTCTTCACGAAAATGCTAGTAAATGTTTTCACACTGGACTAAAACTTACTGACTGCTCACACGGAGTATAAGAACTTCACAAAAAATGATCATTTTACGATTTTTCCCCCCACACCTTGTTTCTAGTCAAAAATGACCAGCCTACAAAAAATTGCTTATAATGTTCTCATTATGCTATATTATTACCAAATACTGAATTCTATGTTTTTGTCTTGTTTCTTATCTATTAGCACAGGTTTCGTTTCTTTTTGCAGCTGATTGATTGAAGTGTTAAGTGAAAGTTATAGAAATAGAGGTTTTCTTTTGCAAAACAATGGGACATTAACTAACTAAGAAACACTAACATCTTTACTTTTATTCTGTCTTATCTGTAAAGTATAACGAGATCCAAATGTCTGAGAAACTTGAGAATGTGTCACGGTTAAACTTATCATTTGTGATGAATGTAATGTTGTGTTTTACAGTACAACAGAATAACACTAATATAAGCAAAACCCTACTAATAATGAGTGTGAATTAAAGTATTATTTAAAGCCAATGTAAATGAATCATAAATGTCATCTACTTACATATATTTCAGTTTATTGTGTAAGAAATCAGGTCAGACAAGCACTGATAACAAATAAATAAAATTCATGGCTGATTAATGTGTCATTAAATAATCAAGACAAAACACTAATATGACGAACTGCAGATTACAGACACATTATTAACTTATTTGGCAATAAAACATCAATAAAAATGGACATTAAAAGCAATTAAGAACACAAATACTCTGGTAAAATAAAAAATATTAACATCCACAAGAGTAACTGACACGGAACACTTCAGATCATATAAGACACTACAAGTTCAAATCAGTTCAAATTAAATATGCAAATATATGCATGTGAAACACACACTCACGCACACACACACACACACACACACACACACACACTCGCACGCACACATACACACACTCTCTC